GGGGGGGGGGGGGGGGGGGGGGGGGGGGGGGGGGGGGGGGGGGGGGGGGGGGGGGGGGGACATCGGAACAGCGCGCACATGCGAAATATCCCCGTAGGAAATTGCGCGATGTAATAATTGTCCTGTGGGAGTGACTCAAGATATTCAGAAGCAGTGTGGAGAGGTTGACGTGCCACAATAGCCCCGTGTTGCTGCATAGTATGGGAAAGAGCGACCATTGTTACACATTTTACAGTTTACTACTTCTGTTCTTAAATGCCCCCTTCAACTCCCACGTGGCTTTCACTTGTCCCCGCGAATCTCAAAGTCTCGTCTCCGCGTCTTTCTGTGTCCCCGCGCACGCCGTAATAGTAACAGATTTTGCGCTTGCCTCCGCCTTCTTGGACTACGCCTTTTACTTCCTCCGTGTATGTCAACGTGTGCGTTGGTGATTGCACGCGTGATTTTATGTCGATACTCCCTCCGGGTGTATGCACTGGCTTGTTATCTTTCCATTACTCAAATTATAACACATTGTTAAATAAAAATCCTTTTCTCTTGTTCTCTTGGGACGAAAATCGTTATAAGCGCGTCAGTCTGTTCTTTGAAATTTTTTTTACAGTGGAGTGCCTTAATAATGTTTTATCTCAATCTTTATACGAATGAAATTAGAAATATTCTCTTTAGTCATTCGAATTCCTTTTGAAATAAAAATAGGCTTTGTGAAAGTGATATTTGTATATAACTTCTTTCTTTCATCTCTCTTTTTTTTTTTTTTTTTTTTTTTTTTCCCTTTTTTTTCACTTTTTCGTCAAACAAATACAATTAGCTAATTATTAACAATAAATATACATCTAAACAAATTATATTTAAAAATAATAATATCGTCAAAAGCTTTATTCTTCTTTTTTCTTCTTCTTTTTTTTTTAAATGCTACAACAATTTTAATTTAAATTAAAAAATATCTTCTTTTTTTTTTTTTTCTATTAATGAATTCTATTATTAATGTAAAATAATAGAAATTGTATTTTGTCGATGAAGCGATGAAATTCCAATTTAAAAATAAAATATGTAGTACAATGTAATAGTCAAACCGTTTTAAATTAATTAATAACAATTTAATATTTAAAACATTACATTATATATGTTGTTCATATATTTTCATTTTAAAATTGTTTATGAAAATATTAATGTTTATTAGAATATCTATTTCTTTATGTTTTTTTTTGTTTTTGTTCTTTTTTCTTTGTTTTTGTTTTTGTTTTTTTTTTTAATAAATTAGGCAATTACAGTACACGTATATGCAATGAAGAAAAAAATGTTGATAATCACAATTCGTATATTTATTCGATTTGTTCCTCACCCGTCCCTCTAAATTTTATAATAAATGCCCATTAATTATGAAAATGCAATGGGTAAACTGGGGTTTGCATATAATACGTTTACAAAACCTTCCTGTCCCCTTGCGAAAGGAAAACAAGGTTTTTGTGAAATAAAAAAAAAACGAAAAAGAAAAAGAAAAACAAATAATAAGAAAATGCGAGAGAGATGAAAAAACTGACAATGCGATTGTCCCAGCACCTCCACAAACTCATTCTACATTAATCAGCACTACGTCGTGTCGAAGACATTCTCGTCTAGGAAGGGACAGAATAATTTTGGGGGGTCGTCAAGGTTGGAAGCGCCGAGAAAGATGGAGCGGTGCGCGCGCAAGAGGCAGCAACGTGGGAGGGTGGTGAATAAGTATTGTGTCACTCTATATATAACGGCACGCAACACCCCGCTCACATCATTGTCAACATTCACCGCATACGCGGTACCATGGTTTACACCTCAAAGGTACAACATTGATTTCTGACAAATAATTTCTACTTTCAGTGGATCAGTGTAAATTTTTTCGTCGTTTGTGCTCGAGATAAATAACGTGTCGTACGGTTGATATAAATATTGAGTAAATAATTAAATACAGCAACGACTATGAGGACTACGAAGACGACGACGACGACGACGACGACGACGACTCTAAGCAATAATAGTGTTACAAATAAGCACGCGTTTAATTGTTATTTCATTTTATTTTTATAATTTTTCATAGCCACAGTGTAATAGTTGCCGAAACAATTTTAATAATTGCATTGACAATGCAGCAGAATTAAATGTGATTGTCAAATTAAAATTTTTGACTTGTTGAATAATAATTTTGGATGTCAATAGTTTTCGTTGAATATTATTGCGATTGAAAGATTTTAATTACATCTACTAGTTTTCTTACTTAAGAAATAACCTTATGAACTAACTTTCTTTTGAATTATCAAATATAAGAAATCTTTGTTAATATTGCCTAAATCTCTAGCAAATTTTTACTTTGCACAAATATCGATCGAATATATTTTAACAACTATAATTTGCGTAATTTCGATGATTTCTTAAATAATGATAAAAAGCTCGTTACCGCGTATCGTAATATATTCATGTTAAGAGTCGCGTAAAGATCTTTTGTTTTATCTAATTATCCATAAAGATAATAATGATAATCGTTTGGAATACGATTTTGTATTCATAATTATTTTTTTATTATTGATATGTTTTAAAACAAAAAGAAAAACAAATTTTTTTAAGATGACTACATGGCTGTTAGCGTTTCTCTGCTTTGCAAGCGCTGCCTGCACAAATATAACAGATCAGCAGACATCTGAAAGTCAGCATGATCAGCAAGTTGCTATTCTAAAACAAATTCGAAAGCTCAACGAAGATGGCTCATATACGTATGGATACGAAGCTGGCGACGGATCATTTAAAGTGAGTAATTACATAGAGCACGTAATTAATGAAATTGATTGTGCATTATTTTCAAATGCATACGAAGCTTTAAATATATGAATGGTGAATTGAAAAAAAAAAAATATTTTTTACTTTAAAACATAGCTTCGACTTTTCAAAAAAGTGTATATTATAATTGTTTAATACTTGTACGTAATGTCCTCCTTATATAACAAATATTACACGTGACTTTTTATATACCAAATTTTTCGTAAATTTGAATATATCTCTTTAAATATTTAATTATTATACATTTGTATAATTTTAAATGTTTTTTTTTATATTATATATATATATAATTTACCTTTTTTTTTCTTTTTCTTTTTTTTTTTTTTTTTTTTTTTTTTTTTTTTTTAAATGAATTTTATCGGTTGACGATCATTGTAATACTCAATTTACGCAAATTTTGTACATTTGCATTAAAATTAAGGTGCTTGGTACAAAGTTAAAATTGAATATTAAACATTCATTGTAAATTACTTCATAAGTGTCAAAATGGAATGGTAACATTTGCTAGGTTGAGAGCCGCGACGTGTTAGGCAACATCAAGGGTACGTTCGGTTTCGTCGACGCCACTGGCGAAATAAAGAGAGTCTCGTATTCCTCTTCCAATGGAACAGGCTTTATATCAACCACCGTCTCGCCATTACAGGAACAGATATCCGTCGTCCAGAGTATACCACGTAATCGTACTTCAACCACCAGGAAACCTAATATCTATATGACATCTAGAGAACCGGATACAAAAGCCACGGTGGTCCAGTCGATACCGAGGACACGAAAACCGACGACCTTACCGACCATTACTACCACAACAGCGACGACTACGGAAGGTTCTTCTAGGCCCAGCTACATGCGACCCAAGGGCAGACACCGTTTCATAATCAATGGTCAGCAGCGCCCCTTAGTACTCGAAGAGGATGAAGTACTCGACGAAGATTCTCAAATTACGCGACCCAGTGCTGGTGACAAGAATACAAGTATGCGAAGAGTCATATTTACGAAGCGGCCGCTAGATCAAAATTTACGTCCTATTACCGAAGAGTTCGAAGATAAAGAGGAGGAGATAAAAATTACCACGGGCAATTCATTGAGAAGACAGCTTCAGGAGGAAACTACTAAAGCAGCGCCGGTCGTTGAACAGGAGGAAGATCAAGCTGATATTTACGGAGGAGCTTTATCCACATCCCGACCACTATTTACCACGACGACACCACCGCGAGTTGTTCAAAGAGTATCTGGACTCAGACACGATCGTCAAAAGCACATTTATGTTAATGAAGATAACGGCCCGATAAAGTTGGATGAGGATCAGCGTGTTTATGAACAGCAAGAGTCGAAGCAACATCAGCAGGAGGATCGCAACACCGCGCAACAAATACTTATACGTACAACTACGAGACCTCCGACTCCCGAGGCGAGAGATTACATACGTCAGAGTCCCGAACCTCTTTATCTTCGTCAACAGCCCGAAGGCTATATACGGGATATCCCGAGCGGTGGGATTCTCGTTCAAGCCCAAGGTAATCATTTGGATGAAGATCCGACTTATCGGCAAATACCCTTGAGTAGGCTACTTCTGAGGTCGGAATTCAATAGACTTTTGCCGATAAATCAGCAACCCTTGTACTCGGGTGCAACCGATGCTAACGTTCATTATATTACGGATTCGCCGCCGTCGGCTCAAGAGCAAGAGGAAGCAGCGCCACGAATTCCGATAAATCCGGCTTATTTAGCCCGACAGAGGGCTGCTTATCAGCGTCAACTACCATATCCCGAAGGCATAGTAGATCCTCGACGAGCTCTTCTGCGACCGTTGCCTCAACCATTGCCCCAGAATGAGCGAGAGTATCAGAGTATAGGACCGGACTACCCCTACAGGTCGAGCCAACTTGTTCTGCCTCCCGAGCCGCCGAATCCCATTGCGCCGCCTCTAAGTCGTCGGGATTTCCAAATACTGTTGCGACGTCTTTTGGTTAGCCAGTATGGCATTCAAGCTCTTAGCTATCCAAAAACTTATCTCGAAGACGCATTGTACGACCAGCAGCCTTATCCGTCTTACCAGCCCGCTTATCAAACACCGATTCCCAGAGCCGAAGTCCCTTATCCTTCGGAGCCTGCAGCTCCCACGGCACCAGTGGCTCCAGTAGCGCCAGTCCCCCCACCGCCGTCATACCCAGAACGAATCCCTTCAAGAAGAGCCCACATGTATTCCAGGGCTATTAATCCTCTCTACCAGCAGAACCAATACGAAGAGTATCCCGAGCCTCGATTTCAGAAACGTGTGTATAGGCAGAAGTTTTATACAGCGGAAGTACCGGACGAGGCAGAGGAAATCTTACCGCCGCAAATTAGAGAAGCCTTATTACTGAGGATGTTGCAATTAGCCATCAACGCGGAGAGGCCCATTGCCATGTCGAATACCATAGCAAGTACGACATTACCGTCGCCGCTTAGATATCGCAAATCGGGACCAGTGAGAAACGTGCAAATTTTAGGAGAGGACTTGGATGAAAATAAAATGAGAAAGAAAATTTAGAAAGTCTTTTATTTGTTGTAAAAAAAAAAAAAAAAAAAAAAAAAAAAAAAAAAAAAAAAAATAAAAAAGAAAAAATCTACAATTACTTGACAAAGTATTCAATTTTCATTTAATTTTAAATATCACCGTTTTATTTATTATTGAAATTCATAAAAGCTATTTCGACATAATCATACTTATAACTCAATAATGCACTATTCTTATTACGTATACGTTTAAAAAAAACGAAAAAAAAAAAACAAAAAAAACAACACCAAAAACAACAACAAAAAACAACAAAAAACAAGAAAAAAAACAAGAAAAAAACAACAAAAAAAACAACAACAAAAAAAACAACAAAAAAAACGATAATTTTTTTAAGATTTTTTTGCTATTCAAGAGTTGAGAAAAATTTTGTTTTACACGTTCGTTTAAAAACTGGCGACTGCGTCTCATCCAATGCAATATTGTCCATTGCTTCTCATAACATAAATTCAATTACTTCTCTTTCATACCTTAATATTAAGTCTAATATTATTCTCTAAGCACACGCATCCCTTCATTCAAGCGGACACGCTCATTTATAAGATATCTTAAGATCGCTAAACATCGTTGTAAATACGAAGAATGATGTAAACTGTAATGTAATATAGATTTATATGGCCGCGCGTTTTTCGCTATCCCCTCCCTTCTCTTCGTCGTCAAAATAAAATAAAGACAAAATAAGATTAATTGGATAAGACAGAGTGTGAGAATTCATTTCGTAAGTCTAAAAAAAAAAGCCTACAGTACCTCACCTCCTACACAGGCAAATATAATGACGTACTATTTGGTGTGTCGGTACTAATTAGCATCGCTGCTCACCAAATTGTTGCAACACGTGCAGCTGTTGGACTGAGCTGCAGGGCGTAGTTCCATGGGATTTTCACGTGAAGTTCAACGCATTGAAATCTGGCGCTCGCGTGTAAGTAGGCTATATGGATAGATTTTTTCGTGATTCGATGTGTGGGGCCTCGTGGTGTGGCTCATTTTACAAATGTATATCGCAGTATATGTAATTCGCTCTCCTGCGTCGCTCAAAGAGATAAACAGTGAAATGTGGAAGTCAATTCAATGTTTCCACAAGCCGGTGAGATTGCCGATGTCGATTACAAAATCCAAGAACGCTAATTATCTCGGTTTTTTTTTGTTTTTTTTTTTTTTTTTTTTTTTTTTTTTTTTTTTTTTTTTTTTTTTTTTTTTGTTGCAATCCAAATACTTTAGTACAACGAAGTCTTGTCAAATGGATATTCTATTAGCCTTATTCGCAACAATATCATATATTTGTGCTGATTGTTTCCATTAAAATTAATTGGCGATTTCTTTAGATATACTCGTAAGCTAAACGAATTTCAAATTTAGTTTTCTTAACACACTTTGCTTAATATGCATTATAAAACTATAAATGTCAAAATGCAAAATTCAAGATCGGCAATCCGATAATTCATTTCGATACCTACAATTAGACAGCTATAATAGTGATTTGGAGTAAGGTCAAATAAAACTAATGCACACATCTAAACTTCTTAAAAATAGTAATTATTATAATTTTACATTGCACTTCGGAGAATTGTCTGTTAAGTAAATGCAACACATTTATAAAATGTAAATGAACTCTTTAATATTAGTTTAAATAATTTTCAATCGCAAAAAATTATTCGTTCTCAATTGTTCTTAATTATTCGTGATTTATATCATTAACGGCATTTTAATTACTTAAATAACATAAGATTTTTCTTTAGTCACTTAAAATTAAATGTATTAAATATATATTGAAAGCAAATAAATAAAAATACTCGAATATCAAAGAAATTTAAAAGTGAAAAATTTAATAAATGTTATGATTATATTAAAATTATATTATGAATTATAAAAAAAATATGTTATACTGAAATTTAATTAATAATGCATATAAACTTATTTATGGGTTACTGGTTATGCGTTAATTTGACTGGATTTTTCATTACGATCGATTATGATTATGCATTTCTTTTTCATGTTTCTTTTTTCTTTTTAATATATGGTTTTATAACTAAATTCTTCACTTGCTGATATTCTAAAACATTTCATTCGATAAATTTAGTAACATAATAACAAAATAAAAATTTATAAGCAAATGAATTTCTACCAAGGAATAACATATATTTGAAAAATAGTATAAATAAATTCATTAATTTTATATACTAATAGCGATCCGAAATATTTAAATAATATCCGACAACTACTACTACTACTACTACTGCTGCTGCTACTGCTGCTGCTGCTGCTGCTGCTGCTACCGCTAGTACTAATACTACTACTACTGCTGCTACTACACAACAACAACTACTACTACTACTACTACTACTATTACTACTACTACTAATAATAATAATAGTAATAGTAATAATAATAGAATATTAAATTTATAAGTTTTTAACAACTCATTCGAGTAATAAATTTTTCAACTATATTTACACATTCAATATGTTTCTACGTATATAGAAAAATATTGTTTACATAGCTAGATCATATAAATAATATTTAACAATTTGTATTCGTCGTTATTTTAAAATTCGTTGGCTATAATCTCCGATGGCACATTTTTCGATTAAATTATTTAAATGTTAATAGTATTCAAATATTGTTGTAATAAAAATTTCGTCGTCCCTAAAATAATAGAATACACCATGAAAACATATCCAAGAATAATGTTTGTTTTTATCTATTTGTTAATATAAATTGTATAGAGAAAAATTGTGATTTTATCTGTATTTACATTGTATCATAGCTTGACAACATTTTTGAAGTTAAAAGACAAAACAAAAGTCATTAAGGCCGTTAAATGTTTCTAATAACATAATGCGCTAATAATTCATCTAAACAACCAGTATGAAAGCTTTTTAATATGAAATTAAATTATTTCCAACTGATTAATAATAGCAAAACTTAAAAATCACAGTTCGGTGAAAGTAAGCAACTCTTAAATTACTCGCACTGGTTACTCGTTGATGACTGAAATTTTCGAGCTCACCGACGTTGCTTCCTTTTGTTCCTCCCTCGTGTTCTCCTCCTCGTCGTCCTCGGGACCGTAAGGATTATAGGGCTCGGTTTGTACACCGACATCCTCGTAGTCAAGCTCGAGTACATCTTGCTCGTAGATGACGTCGTGACTTCGCGGTCTGGCCACTGATGGGATCCAGGGTTGTGGTACACCTTTACCCAGAGCCAGAAATACGGCGGCCGTGATCAGCAAAACGATGGATGCAACGCCGAAAACGAGCCGCCAGGATCCTGCGATCTGAATTCAATTTGACCTTTGGCATTACCAAAATTTCTTTAATAATCGTTCGTCGACTGCTTATACATCGAAAATATATATTGAAAGTTAATTAGGTTCACCGAGGATGATAACTATTCACCACTATACCATAATACCATAATATAATACTGCTTGTACGTAACGTTTATAATTTCATTTAAAAAGTGACCACCTTCATCCTCCAAATCAACAATATCATTTAGGTCTTTCAGTTTTCTACAAAACTGACGAATCGTGTCATTAATGAGCGGACTTTTTTTTTCTTTTTTTGCAAATACCATAAAATCATTCGTTGATAAATATTACTCTTGCCGCAATTTAATAACTTGCCCATTCATCTAATTAGCTCGTGCATTAAACATCCGCTCTCGGTATTTCATCACCAAGGGGATGCAAACGTCGCGCGAAATAATATTTACGATGCCGTCAGATTTTCTCCCCGACCCAATAAAATCTTAACGAGACATTGCACATTGGATTATTATTGCCCAAAGCTGGATGGAGACGATTCGCTCCGATCGAGCGCTTCATTAGGGGAAAAGCCCATGGATCGTCGGGGACCTGCCGCGAGCTCTTCGATCGCAGCTGATTTTGAATAACAAACGAGTCGAGACTCACGGAACCATGAAGCGCCTGGGTGACGAAGTAATTGGCTGCGAGGAGACCCGCGGCTCCGAGAGTCGAGCAGAGGGCGCAGGCGGCTGCTGCGCAAGCTGGAGATTCGGCAGGTGCGAGGTCGGCGATGGCCGCGAGGGCGCCCGCGGGTGCGGTTCCGCTGACCAAGAGCGCGGCAATGCCGAGCCAAGCGGCACCTAGAGCCTGGCATCCGGCGTAACCGGCGACGAAAAGAAGCGCCGCCGGAATAAAGTGCGCTACAAAATACGAGAGGAGGATTAGAGTTTTGTATCATTTTATCGTGGACGCACACGTTTGTAGCGTTTTAATTAAAAATTGTGGGAGACTCTTGTTATTTAATATATATATATATATATATATATATATATATATATATTGCAACCGATGAGCAGTAACAAATGTTCGCTTCTGATAAGTAGTTAATGCAATGTTTCACTATATTAAAGAGGGATATATTAGCAGATATATAGAAATTACAATTACAATGTAGTAATTGATAATTATTTTAATTTATGTATTAAGGTATAATTATTAGAATTAACAGTAATGACGATATAGGAGTCTCATTATAAGACAAATAATCAACGATAATAATGATACTGTCAAACTTATTAGCATTATTTGCATTTATGTGCCACATACTCAAAGATAAGATTATTAAATTGTATAGGACTTGAGAAGATCTTAAGTGCTCTTAAGGATTGTAGTTATCGTACAATTTTGTACGCCAACCTCTTTATTTTTCATTTCGTTCAAGATATTAACACGATGAATAATGAATTTATCCATTCGCTTATATTATAATTAAGATAATAATGTTTAATAAGTGTTGAGCATTATAGGCTTGTTTCCTTTTCAGAGTGAAATTTGCAAAATTACTTTAACAATCTATGGCAATTTAAAAGAATTAAAATTAAAATGCAAATATTAGAAATATTGTGAAAATTATGGCCTAATTTATAATATGTTCACTTGAATGGTTAAAGTAATGAGAAAAAAAGCATCGCAAGGCATTGTTGAACGATCGACCATATGGATTATATTGAAATAAAAATGTTGCAATTCAATTACCGGTGTATACAACGAGTTTTCTTGCCGTTGTCGTAGATACTATTTTAGATTCTCTCACATGATCAACGAGCAAACCGCAAGTGAGTGCCGCCATGAAGTGGCCAATGTGCGGCAGAGTTGTCAGTACGGAATCCTAGATTAAACAGAAAATTAAGTAATTATATGATTTTATCAAACTCGAGTGACCTGCTTAAGACGCGTCCAGGCATTCGGCAAAACTGGTCTTTCGAACGTAAACGTTGACAAAGTATTCGTTACAGCAATTTGAAGACACGAGATAAAATTATCATTTTAAAATCAAATCGTTAAATGAGTTATAAAAATATTCATCCAAGTTCTTATATGAAAATACCGCGTGTATATCAATATACTTTTTATCATAATAATTCATCAAATTTTTCGATAAATGGTATCACCAATTTTAATGATATCTACTTTATCACCGAAGCATTCAATAATAATATTAATTCAAAGTCTATGAGAATTTGTCATTGATTAAAGAGAGAGAGAGAGAGAGAGAAACTCGAATAACTGAAATGAAATATAAATTTACTTGCTACTTTTTAGAGTTGCCGCATCAATGAAGTTCTTACGATGTAAGTAATAATAGACCGAGAAAAGCAAGTTACGCGCATTATTATTATCGACTAACTAACTAACCGTTATAACAGCAATACCACTTGAAAATCATATTCATAAATTTTAAAATATACAAGAGATTATTACATTAGCGGTGGAGAATCCATAAATGAGCTTGAGGTACTTTGTCATTCCGAGAGCAAGTGTGGCGTCACCCCATTGATTACCCATTGTCGCGACTGCAGACGCCCAGACCGGAACGGATCTCAGTAACTTTCCCCATGGTATTACTGCTGCCTGTTCTTATCAGTATAATTATGTATTTACAACGATAGCGGGCGTGAAACGCAGCACAATCATTTATATAAATACTAAAATTTGTGATGTTTTTATTATGCTATCATTGCATTTACGCAAGTGTTACTTTCATTTTAACAATATTAGAGACATTCTATTGCATTAATTTGCGCGCAAATTATTATAATTAAATACATTTATATTCTATCCCTTAAAAAAAAAAAAAAAAAAAAAAAAAAAAAAAAAAAAAAAAACTTTATATACACATATTAAATCTAATTGAGATAATCTAATAATAAATTTAATTGAGAGTGTTAAATGATCGGTAGATGCTTAAATGCCAAATCCGACCAAATTCGACATTAACATTCACTATTTATTGTAATATTATACAATTCGTATGTGTTGCCTTACATTAGTATCATGCTGATAAGACTTGGGACTGTCTTTAACGAAGCGACCGAATGTGAAATACCAACACAGTGCTAGTATGGTTAATCCGTAGCAAAGCGAATCTCTACCAAAAGCCCTCACCACTGCCGTACCGATCCAACCAGTTAAACAATAACCTACGCTTACAGCTAAAAAATTAATTCACAATCAGTTGGATAAAAATTAATTAGATTGGTCGACTCGTTTCACATTAAGGAAACATTAATCCATTGTTCCGTTACCTGCGTAACAACTAAAATACCAACTCCTATGAGTACTTTTGAACCAGGTCATGGCAAGCATATGAGCGGCGGGCATCGTTGCTCCCTAAAAGAAACATGTTAATTATTGTATCCACTGCATACGTATTTTAATATAATATGGTAATGAGCGGTGATAAATATTCATGAAAATGTCAAATAGAATGAATGAAAAATGGATCTTGAAAATTGACGGATTTAGGATTCTGTAATAGCGATATTTTATGCCAACAGTTGACAGGCTCGTTTTCATTATATCATGTATATTAAAAATATTGTTAATATTTGTAAGGCGAATGCAATCGGTCAAATATCAAATATTTTTCATATTATGTAATTTCAAATATCTGCACCAAGCAGCTTTCTTTTCGTTCAACCGAAAGAAACCGAAAGAAAGCCTTGCTTTCATAATTGTACGAACCTAAAGCAAAGCAATTCAAAGGAATTCGAATGTCCAACGAATTATGAATTAGGATCAATTTCATAATATTTCAAATGCATATAAAATAATCGGATAATAATTGTTTAGAGTAAATATATCTTTGGTAAATGGCTTTGTAAAATGATGTCAGAACGAATGGAAAAAAGATGAAGAGGTAATTAAGATAATAATGTATATGATTATTAAATTAAAATAAAAGTCATAAACGTACCTCACAAATTCCTTAAAATGTACACAATTTTTCAGAAGGCTGCATTTATACTGATAAATATTTGAAGAACGATAATAAATTAACAATACTAGGACATTAGGGTTATACTAATTATAACGGAATTCATTTTAAAGTTACTTTCCGGATGGGCCTTTAACTCCGCAAAAGTTTTGTTGTATTTAGTTTGGTATTAAAATACAGGTTAATCGTTGGTTTCGTTATCGATTATTACGAGTCGTGGGGCTCACTGTGCCAAAATAAGGACAAAAGAAGGAAATTGGAGAATCTCTTATGAATAAAGTCTATATACAATTGTTTAGTCTCGATAAGTCAATGATCTCTCTCAAAATAACATAGAGGCCAGCGTCTCACCGTGCAAAGGCCTTGAAAGAGTCTTAAGGCCACGTGCGAGGGTCCCCTCCAGGCAGCGGGGACAAGTAGCGAGGCCAGGCACGCGCTGAGCACAGCCCTGGCGAAGACCATCGAGGGTCCGGACCTGCCCCATACCAAGCACCCGCCTAGAATCGGACCCGCGACCTGGCCCCAAAGGAAGGCCTCTCGCATTATCGACTCCGTCCGCTCCTCCTGAGGCAGCTCCATCAGGATCACCTCTGCATCCTCGGTGCGATTTCGACTCGAAATGTTCACGAGCATGTCGCAGTGCCAGGACGTGTCGATTATCGCGTGGTTGTCCTCCTGATTGGCCAGGAGCGCGACCGAAGAGCTCGTCTCGACGGCGCCGCACAAGGCGAAGCCGACGGCCACGAGGGCGGCAACTATGTGCCTGGCTCGTACGGCCGCTGCAAATAAAATCGCTCGATGTAATTATGACGCTGGTCAATTGCGAGTTCGATCCTCCCTCCGAGGAACGATTATTTATCGTCAAGTAGATGGTAGTAGAAGCTTCGCTTACGTGCATTAAATGTTCAATTTTTTTAAACTTTCGATGAAATAACAATGGCAACAATTACATAGGATCGGCAAAAATATCTCGATATATCGATTACGAGTGGGTATTTAATTTTGGGGGAAATTCATGATGACAAACGCATAATATAAAATATATTCCATTTAGCTTTGAATTTTGAAAATACAATTTATTAAATGACGTTTGAACAGCATTTAAATTACGTTTACTTATTAATTTGCAGCGCCTTAAAGTATTTGGTATAACAACAAATTTTAATTAACTTTAAACTTTTTTTTTTTTTTTTTTTTTTTTTTTTTTTAGGAATTTTTTTACTTTATTTATTAATTAGGATTGCAGAGATTGTTGAACATTTGTTGGCAGAAATTAAAGATTTTTTGGGGAACAAAAAAAAATTGTTTTTCCGATTACGAAATTGTTCTACGATATAACGCTATTCCATATCCCAATAATTATCGAACATTTCTAATTGCCTACAATAAAAACATAATTTCTTTCCGCGAATCCGTCTTATCGTAATATAAATAAACTTTGAACTGGTAACGATAAATTAATTATTACTGCGAATGTTTCCATTGCTAATCAGCAAACGATATATTTATTTTAAACTATTAAAAACAAACTATTGTATTAAACTATTAATTGTATTAAACTATTAAAAACAAAGGTCCAAGGTTACATTGTACTAACATAATTATTAAGCAATATCGACATAAACTAAAATTTACAACTATCTGTTGTAAATGTACAATACCAGCTATTTAAATATGGCCCCTTTTGCATATCGCAATGGGAAATGGGAATGGGCGCATCGACTAGACGTTAAAACAGTCGCTATTACGCCAATTTGATTCAATATTATCGAATAAATACTAATTCCCGTCCACTAATCCCTCTAATATAAAGCCCAACTTAATCAAAATAAACACAATTCACTCAGAAGCAATTAAAATTATCGTATAAAATGCATCAAAAACTACTCGTTCACAAATGACGTACGATGATACTAACCAATCCACGAACTTCACGTAAACACACATCCAAATCCACCACATCTCATTTAATTCCTCTATAAAAACAAAATACTTTGTCGACATATGACACGTGCATCGATCAACAATCAAATAGGATGGTTGAGTAAGCTGTTATCAAGGAATAGCTGATTGCGATACGGTGTCGAACTGATCAATGAACGAAGCGATGAAAATGCACGCGCGTGTGCGCTTAAATGGCTGAGTGATCCACGAAAATGGCAGTCGATCGAGGGATCCGGAAACGTTGCGACTGACCTCGCACTTCCTTGGCCGCCTGCTTGATTTGAACACTGCTGCGCTTCACTAGCTGGACACTGCCCCTCTTCACGAGCTCTGCCATTTCTCCTGCTCCGCCTACGGCAAAAGCGGTCTCTCTTCTACGAAATACGCATTTCGCGTCAGCAGTTGACACCTTATCTGTCGCTCGCGTCGCGTTTCACCTTCATTATTTGATCGACGCGGGCGCTATCGCTTTTCCTTAATTCTTTATTCTTTCGCTCGCCTGGCGCTCTTAATTATAAGTCATGCGATGCCCGTACCACTTATATGTGTGTGCGACCTCGACTTTGCCACAAATACAATTAACCAACGCAAATAAGCACACTTACCACACCTACAAAGCCACGTGTCGCGCGAGCCTCTGTATTTTCCTTCAAATGCCAGTATTATTAAACGGCCAAATTTTCGTCTTTACCGGGGGATTCATAGCAACAATTGTAAGTCCGTATTTTTCCCTTATGATTTTCTAAATTGATTAAATCAGGGCACAATTACATAAGCGCAGCATTCGAATCTCGTATTCTATATAAGAAATCGTGTTTAAGATTATTGGAGAGTTATCGAGGTATTAATTATTACATGTGAATTTATACTTTTTTTTCCCCCTTTAAATCGTTTATGAAGTACTACATTATTATTGGATAAATTATTTATAAATTTTCATAATTTTAAAAAAAGTCGCTTCATACACATTATATACAATTAATAACAATAAAAACTTTTTTAGTTAATTTTGATTTAAATACTGTCAAACAATTGAATTAAAATTGAATTAAAGACAATAATTTAAATAAATGTATTGATTAAATTTTGTCATAAAATCATAAAACAACTTTAAATTCTCTCTCTCTCTCACACACACACACACACACACACACACACAGAGAGACACACACACACTCACTGTGTGTACTTGTGTGTATGTTGCGAACGCACATACGTTTGTGTTTAAATTAGTATTATTTATTAACTTATTACGTGCGCTAAATGGTATATAACGGTGTATTATATATTGTAAATATGAGTGGATTTACCTACTTTTACGCATACATATAATTTTAAATTTTCACAAACAATTTATATCTATATATTTATATATTCAAGATATTTATTCAAAATTATAATGTGTAATCTAATTTCATCATACAAATTTTAACACTAATTTCACAATAATTTCTTTAATTGACGTCTATATATAAAAATAAATTGTACGTTAATTTTTAGAATCGCAAATTATATATATATGTTTATAAAAACTTATTGGAATGTTAGAAATCCTTAAATATTTAATTTTTTAAACTTACTTACATTCATTAAAAACTAAGGAAGGCTACTTTAAAGCTTTGTCATAAATTTTGAGAGATAAAATTTAAAAGAATAATTTTATTATCGATAGAGTACGTATATCTATAAATTATATAAATTGTAAAATATAATATATATATATATATATATATATATATTAAAATTTTATTTTACTGATTAAAAATATAGTTTCGATAACATCCAACGTCCACAATTATGGTTCTATCCTGATTTTATTTTATAAACAAACTAATTTTTAAAAATAATAATTTTTTCATTTCTCATATGCATTTACAGTTATAATTATACCAATTATAATATAAATACTCGGACAGTTAATAATTATGGGACTTTAAATAAGAAAAAATATTCACATTATGCAACTGCAAGTACTCATCAAAATATTATGTATAACAATGTTAAAAAAAATTAATTATGTTTTTTTTTAATATTTTATATTTGAATTAGTGATGTTTAAATAAACACTCGATAATAAAATTCAAATTATCTTGTAATTATATTATTATTATGTATATTATATCAAGCACACTTTACATTATATTCATTAAATCGTAATAAAGTTATTCCTTTGATTTGAATTTTCTCAAATATTATACCTAGAAAATGCGAATTACATGGAATAAACAAGAATTTTTTAAATGTCGGTCTTACTTTGAAGTACATATTTACAAAAGAAATAAAAACTGTGCAGCTTAACTACAATTTCATAGTAAATATAATTAAAATTTTGTACAACTAAATTAAAATAATTTAATGTGTATTACATTTTGTATTCAAATTTTATTTCAAAGACTTTTGAAAAAATAACGATACCGAATTAATTCTTAATTAAATTAATTAATTAAATATAATTATATACCAATAATTGGAGATTCTTAGAGTAGTTGATTATTATTTAGCAAATAATGGCTCTTGTACAATCTTTGACATACATAACAAAATATTATTTTATAAAAGGAAAAATTATAAATTAAAAATGTATTATATTGTTAAAATTATTAAATTCAGTTCTCTACGAGATATATAAGTATCAATTTGTATAGATTTGAACATAAAAATTATGATATATTTATATTTAAGGCAATTACTGTGTATGATTAATAAATTATATCGAAATAGATGATTAACTACTCTTTTGATACTATAAAGGACTATTTATTTCAAAATCACTATTAAAATATTTTCTTTAATCATAAACATTAAAATTCTTCTCTTTTTAATATTTACATTATTTTATTATATGTAAAATTATTTGATTATTTTCAATGAGAGCTTTAGAAATGCATTATTATGAAATTTTACATTTTATATCAGAACTCAAATGTTTCACAAATAAGTTTGAAATTTGCAAAATTGGAATTTTTATAATTGCATCGCTTATTAAAAATAATATAATAATTCAAGATAAATAATAATAATAATAATAATAATAATAATAATAATAATAATTCATTTATATTATTAATAACTTTAGAGAAATTGTGTTGGTTTTCCCATTTTAAAATTAAAACAAACAGTAAATTATTGTTTCATTTTCTCATCATTGAAAACGTTTCGTAAAGCATTTTGACATTTTTCAGTATTTTTAATTTAATTATAAATAATATGATATTAAAACAGCCATTTAAAATTAATTTTATTGATTACATTCTTACAATGTTGCAAACAATAATGACTTGAATTTTCTATGTAAAATAAATTAAATCTATTTAATGTGGCTCTCAGAAATTTCGTAAATTTTAATTTAATTTCTATACCCATAAGTTTATTATCAAATATGTACACTTTATAATGATCTACAGAATATAACTTACGAGGCTATGATCAAGGCTAACAATATTAAACTAATTCATCGTGTATTTCATTTATAATATTGAAAAGTACCTGCTTGCCCTTTCGATGCTTCTTTGAGCTTCCGCATCTCATCGTTTTCCCACATCTTTCCATATGAATAAAGAAATGATAAATTCTACAAAAAGTAACAGGCAACAATTCAAATGTCCGCGTAATACGAAGAGAAAACTTTACTTCATATCCCTCGATCGTCTACTCCTGTATATTTTGTATCCGACGATATCACGTCTTTAGACTATACATATGAGTAAGTCTATTTCACCTTATCATTGACGCATGGATTTTATTATCTGTGGTATTACTATTGCTGTCTCACCCATTACTCTTTTTTATTACTTGTAAATGTAGGGGGCGCCCCAATTACAGGTAGCTGACAATAGTCTTATCTTAAAAATTTATAGTTATTTCACAAAAAATTCTAAACTTGTATATTCATTGATTGGAAATATAAATATTATGAATAATTTATTATTATCATAATTGATTGGACAGCATGGAATAATCAGAAAATAGTGTAATCTCCGTACAATTGCTAATAATAATTAAAACAAAAATGTTTCTCTTTACCGTAAAATAATTATTATAATTTATTATGTGTGCTACGTGTGCTATTGCATGTTAATATATTCTTACATAATTACAAATATATGAAACATATAAAACTATTTCCATTCAATTTAAAATTGAATTCTTTAATCATTTTTGTAATAATTTTTTCTTTTCTAACAGTAATTATTGGTTATACATATATATATATATATATATATATATATATATATATATATATATATATATATATATATATATATATATATATATATATATATATATATACATGTGTGTGTGTGTGTGTGGGTGCGTGCGTGCGTGCGTGCGTGCGTGCGTGTGTGTGTTTTATCTCTATATAAATCTTTATATGCCCTTTCATTTTTTATGACATTTAGTATATATAACTATATTGTAACATTTACCATTGTATTAAAATAGAATATTTTTGTTAAAAATAGATATCAATGCATGAGATTAGAAAAACTATAGTAATTTTCAATAAAGATTCCCCTTCAATGAAGTAGTCAAAGTAGAACGAGAGTAGCAAGCAAAAAATTAAAGAGTACAAATTTATTTTAAAACTAAGATCATACCATTTTTACATTGGATATTTTCCTCGCGAAATGTATTACTTTAAAGAAAAAAATTTACGCATTATTTTGAAATTTATTTCTATAAATGCAAATTAAATAAGTAGTAATGAAATTTTACATATTTTTATACAATTAATTTAAAATGCTTATTTTAAAATTATTATTATATATTTTTCTTATTATAATAAAATTATTCGAATATAATAAGGAGTTGCAATTTAATACTATTCATGATTAATAATTACATTCAAACGACAAGATTATTGCATATATTTTATTAAAATGAGATATTTTGTGAAGAATAAGGGACAAGTCGCTACACTTTGTAAAAGAAATATTAAGCATTTTAAAAAATTAATATTAAAAATAAAAGTTGTTTAGCCTAATCAATTTTCGAGAACTCTTAAAAGTGCTTAAAAAAAAGTTATAATATATAATTGTATAAGTATATAATACTGTTCAAAAATTGTATTAAAAGTTCAATTTTTTTTTACTCTAAATTTTTGTCAACTGTAAATTACGAAAAATTATCATTTACTACGAATTGTTTTATATAAAAATTCTTACATTATTTGCTTATATAAAATTATATCATATTAAAATATAATATCAATCTAACAATAGCAGATTATAATAATAAGAGATATAGCATATTACGATTAGAAATTAGAAAATTTATATTTATGTATAGATTTCCTTAATACTTTCGATTATCTTTAAAATTGATGAGAATTATTATTTATTTTTTACTT